CTCTAGTCTGGTAGACCAAAAGATGTCCCTCAAAGGTCTCCTCTTCTACCCAGGTCCAGCCTATGCAGACTTTTCCCCAAGCACAATAAATTCCTATACAACTCAGACAAATCTGAATACAGGAAAAAGTTGCCAGTGTTGTCCAGAGTGCTGAGTAAATCCCTGAGGCAGAACTGCCCCATCCCAGCTTTGTTCCTGGTCCAGTACTTGTCTTCCATCCCTGGCACAGGTGCTCAAATAGGTGTTCCCAGGGCTGGATGGATCACCCTGATTTAGGAACTTCTGACTGGGGAAGGCAAAACGGGTGGCTATGCAGGAAGGTGAATGTGATTTGGGAACTGTAGCTGGGGCCCTGGTCACCACAGAGCAGTCTGTGCATGGAGACAATGGGACCAGATAGGGTGGCAGTATGGGACAACAGCCTGGCAGATAAAGGCCAACATGGAGCCCTGCATGCCCTGTCAGAACTTGTGCTATAATGGAGGCTTCCACACCACACCAGATCAAGCAGACCTACCTTCATGGATGCCTGGAGCAAGGCTAAAGGACGCCATCTCCATGGAAATGATAGCAAGGTGCCAACCTCCCAATACCACCCTCCAGGGATCTCCATAGCCACAGACACCATTCGACAGAGAGCTGAGCCAAGGTCCTCCTCCTCCCTAGTCCCAGGGCTACCACAGCATAAATCTCTGATCCTAGGTAGAAATAATTCTCTCTCCCACTCATGTGCTGAGGATCCCAGCAGTCACTGTTTTCTGTCTCATGCCTGGAAGTACCTGGATGGAATTCCTACAGGGATCAGTGCTATGAGGCCTCTGTGATGCTGAGCTACAGCTTACTCTCAGTGGGCTGCACAGCTGGAAGCTTGTCTTCCTGCATAAAATTCAGTAAGAGCAACAGCCTGGGGAATGCTACCAGATAAATTTATAGAATTATTTTGGCATAATTAGACACACTCATACTTACAAATGGGGTTGACCAGAGGCAGCATGATGCCAGACGGTATGTGTTCAAAGTTAGTAAAATTCTGCCCAGTTGGGGTCATCGGGGGCCAGGAGGAACCATACCAAGTTGTTCTGGCTCCTGTCCCAGCCCAATCCTGGCTTCTGGTCTGTCCCTGCACTGTAAGTGACTACGATACAGGTCACTTGCTCCTGAGTAATGGATGAGATTTGAAACATTGTGTTCCTGGCTGTCTTCTAAAAATGGCAAGTGTGGATGCCATGCACCTTGGTATAAATTAGGACATCACTTGGGAATAGAGAAGGGAAAACCTAACAGGTAGCCTTATAGATCAGTGCTATTCTTGTTTGTTTGACCTAAGTGTCCCTTAACTGACAAATGGATAATGAAAATGTGGAACATTTACACAATGGAGTGCTACTTTGTGGTAAAGAAAGATGAAATCATAAAATTTGCAGGTAAATGGATGAACTAGACACTGTTATACTGAGTGAAGTAACACAGACTCAGAAAAGCAAGTGACCTATGTTCTCCCTCATATGTGGATCCTAGCACCAAATCCTTTTAAGTGAGTATGTATCCAGACATAACTACAGGAACCAGGATAATGAAAAGGAACCCGGGAGGTAAAGAGAAGGAAAGAACCTGAGAGAACAGTAGGAGACAGGTGTTACTAAGGGAGAAATAGATAAAAATGGAGTTATTTAAACGGGGGGGGGGTTATACAAGGAACTTTGGGGATAAAGAGAAAGAAGGAGCTCAAGAGAGGTGGGACCATAGTAGACTGGTATTATCAAGGGAGAAATGGCGAAAACGGGGACATTTTAAATGGGGAAACCATGGCGGAAGGGTTAGACAATGAGACAGAGAGGGGAGATAAACAATGCCTCACTAGTTTTAAAAAACCAGAGGGAATCATATTAGTCTTACAACCTAATGACAAATTACACATACATTATCTCTACATGAGTCCGTGTGTATAGCTAAAGGTTACATAACAAGAAACAGTGCCAAGCCAGAGAAACCTTCCTTTGAGCTATTGGCCAGGGTGGTCCAAGAGACTCCCAAAATTACTCAGGCTACTGCCACAGCCCTTGATGGCCTCCCAGAACTTGAAGGTAAGATCCTACTGCTGAAGACAGAACATACTTCAGACACAGGATTTGGACAATAGAGCTGCAACTGACCTGCAACCACTTCCCCTGCAGGCTAGCTCTCATGGCTTTGGAGAGTGCTATGAAGGTGCCAAGAGAAAATATCAATCTATGGTCTAACACCAGCTTCAAGACCAAATAACCACATCAATGGCCAGCATAGCATATGACACTGGTACAGTGGCACTTTTATCTTAGGGGCAATCAAAAGGCACCTAATCGGACTAAAAGCCCACACAATGGGAAGAAACTCAAGTGTGGTATTGCAAACATAATCAAATATACATGGCTGGAGTGGTCATAGATTTTAGAGAAAACCCCAAGACTGTCACATCACTCACTAGACTAATGTGATTTCTTACTATGTACAAAATATGTATTCTTATATTTATAGACAAATGTCCCAGTCACCACTCATTGGAAGCTCATTTTGCACCAGTCAGAGACTATTACCAAGTACCATGCCTGGTCACACACAGACATTGTCTATGAATTGCCCAAGCCTAAGTGACACATCTACAAGGCAACCTCTACACCTAAGGCTCATGGAACATAGAACAGAGGTAAAGAAGATACAAAAAGTCATAAATGGCCAAAGCATAGAGATCAAGAGTCTGCTGAATGCCGATCCTGAGACAGGACTCCTTTATTAAACTTCATCCACCCAAGGCTCAGGGACCATCTCAGAATAGGGGGCAAATAGATTGTAAGAGCCAGGGAGGAGGTGAAGGACCATATGGGAACAAAGTCCCACAAGCTCTTGGGAACCTGCTCATATGATTCTATGGCAATGTTATCAGCATACACAGGTCCCATGCAAACTCAGACAGACAAAAACCCAGCATAGAACTGGGAAAATGAACAGCAGACCCCAATCTTATCTGAAGAAATATTGGCAACTGATTGATGCTAGGTGAAGAAGAGCTGATCGTCCTAAAACAAGAGACTCTAGATAGGCTGACTAGACTTCAGTGGATGGACTATCACTGGGGACTTTAACAGGGATGACAGAGTATATGCGCTCCGGTAGGGGGGGCATGGGAGGGTGCCGGTGGAGACAGACTTTAAATATGATTAAGATTGATTGAGGTGTTCTGCATGAAATACACAAAAAATTCAAAAAAAAAAAAAAAACTTAAAAAAAAAGAAAAAAAGGAAATCCAGAAAGGAAAAGCACACATAATTTTCAGAAGGATGGTTAGCTCCTTTCCTGGAGTTTGCTGAACCCCCAGCTCATGCTCCTCTTGGCTCACACAGCCCAGTCTACCTTCTACTGGCACTCTATGGCTTGCTTCTCAAGCTGCCCCAAGTCAGTGCTGAGTCTATCTTAGGGACTACCAGAGGAGGAGGCATCATACAGAGGGGTCCTTTGGTGTCCCCTGGACTCAAGTGCTGTAGCTAACGGAGAGGACAGTGGGCAGAGGGCAAATGGGAGTAAAAGCAGAATGCCTGCAGAGGCTCTAGGTGTGTGGGCAGTAAGTGGTCCTGCTGGATTCTTTTAGCTCCTCATTCCAGAGTGCAGCCATTGTGATGAATGTTCTCAAATGGAAGCCCCTACAAGCCTGCTTCAATAAGCAGAGGCACCACTCAGCAAAGGACTGCACGCCCATCTCTACCTAGTGATGACACCCAGCTGTGTCTCAGAACAACAGCCGCAAGGTGGAAGGGAACAGAGTCAAAACTGAAGTGCCTTTCAATCACACAGAGACACCAAACACAGCAACCACATTTCATTTCACACAGGCGGGGCCTCCTACTTTCACCAGTCGAGCCTGACCACTTTCCACCAGCCCACGTGGACAGATGGAGGCTACCAAAGGAGAGCCAGCTGTGGGCCCCATGGAGAGAAGTTTGGCTCATCAACGCAGTGTGCCTAGGTCCCAGAGGAGAAAGGGGCTGGGGGCTCCTAGCAGCTGAGCAGAGCCAGAGTCAGGGCCAGGAATGCCCCCGAAAGGGGCTGTCCTCACCTCAAACATGAGAGACATGCAGAACGCTCGGGAACCTGGCCAACACAGTCAAATCCAGACACTGATTTTATGTAGAAGAGTTTTAAAACAGCCACCGAATGTGGGAAAACCAAGAGGACAACTGCTAAACTTAGTGTGAAAGCAACCCTAAACACCTCATCAGCAATGTTTTATATAGATTACATGTTGAAATATTTTGAACCGTGTATTTAATAGAATGTGCCATTACAATGAATCGCACCTTTAATTTTATTTTTAAATTAATTTTTTACAAAACTATGGCTACTAGATCATTTTTCATTAGTCTTGTGGTTTGTATTTCTGCTAGACAGCACTAACCAATGCCTAGTTGGCTAGCCACCAGGGCCAGCTCATTAACTCAGATCATCTCTGATCTTTTATGAAATAAAAGAATAGCTGAAAATGTTGTTCACATCAACTAACAGGTTGGCATCCCCCCTTTGAAATTTTTTCTTAGGAAACAAGCCCATCACATATGGCTGAACAGGTTGTAAACTGCACAAGAATGACACATCCAAGGGATGAGGTGCTGTTCACACTGCACATATTGTGGATTTGTATATTTATTTCTGTCTTATCCTGGCATGTGGCAATAAGAATCTTGTGCTAACAAATGGGTATATTACAATGAGCTTCCAAAGAAGGCATGTGGACGAGAGGGATGCCATTTTCTGATTTTCATGAAAACCATAGCTGTACTGTTGGTGCTGGCAGAACCCTGGGGCTTGCCTGCAGCTACTCTGACCAGCTGCCTTCTTGCCCTGCCCTCGCTCTCTCTGTCAGAGAGCCTCACTGAATACACTGAAGCCTCAACTGTGCACATCATCATTGGCAACTACACCAGAGCGTTCCAATAACCTGGCTTAGTGCTGACCTAGGATGGGCCACTTACCTTTTCATTTTTCTTGTCATCTGTCTTGCACCCTGTGTTGGTAGGGCTGGATGTGGCTAGGCCACCAATGGTTGCTGCTCCAACCTCACCATTGAGGTTGGCAGCATTGACATTGGGAGGTGTGATGGCCGATGCTGCTGATGTGAAGGGGATGGCTGGCCGGGGACAAGTCTGCAGCAGGGGCTGCTGGCTGTGCTGTGGGGACACCACAGGGCGGGGTCGAAGGCTGGTGACAGGCAGGCGGGATGGAGAGTTCTGAGTGCGCAGGGGTGACACGGTGGCAGTTGGTCGGTCCTGGGCCTGGGTTGAAGGGTGGGTAGCTGGAGAGATGGTGGATTGAAAGGTTAGTGTGTACTTGGCTGTGTGAGTGCAGCACATCTTTTTTCTCAGGCTTGATCTTTGACCTCTGAGTGTTCTGAATCCTCCCAGACCTGGGTACCAACACAGGTGGAGAAACCGGGGCTGAACAACCCAGAAAACGTAGCCTTGTTTTTCTAAACCAAAAGCACCAAGGGACTCATAGCCAATGAACACTGCTTTTCCCTGGGGAGGGAAAAACAGAGGTTTTGCAAGGCTGCTACAGGCAAGGGCATGTTTCTAGTTTTCTGTGAAGAGCTCAGTATCAGTCTGATTTCTGTTGCTTAGGAGAAAACACAGTTTTGGCTGATTTGACACACAGATGAGGAGTTTTAAGGGCTTGGGCCCGCATCAGCTCAGCTCTGGTGAGGACCTCATGGTGGATGGCATCACAATTGCGGGAATGTGTGCAAGAGGAGGTGATCCCACTGCAGCCTGGCAACCAGAAAGTCAGATGGGGAAGGGGTAGTGGTGCTAGGAGCCAGGTCTGCTCTCACAAATTCATTCAGGATTCCATGAGAACTGCCTTAATTCTTCCCAAGGGCTACTCCATTCTACCTCATCTTAACCACACTGATGATCAAGTCTCCAACCTACTGACCCTTGGAACCCACATTCAAACTGCAGCATCTGCTAACAAACCAATGCATTCAGATTTTTAAAATATCCTAGGTAAGATTTTTGTAGAAATAAAGCTTCTGAAAGCATCCTGACGAAGCCTCAAGATGCCTCTGAATTATTAAGCACCAATGCAAGCAGTCTACTGCTGGACTCTGGTTAGCCCCACCAGAACCTATGGCCCAGCTCTTGGTCCAGCATGGGTGCAGGACCATGCTGAGCAAGGGTGGAGAGTGTGAGCCTCATGATGGGAGAGAAAAGTAGTGTTAGTGGTGGCAGAGCTGCCCATGGCCCTGGTAGCATCGGCCTGTGGCTGAGGCCTTGCCTGCATGACAATGTCAGAATTTCTGGATTTACAAACATTCACAACTATGAACCCATCTCCCACTGCCAGCAAATAAAATCTCTAAAGGTCTGAGCATCTACTAGTACAGCTCCACTTGTGAAGACAAAGCTCCCTCTAAAACTAGCACTATATTTATCATCAATCCTGCTACTCTTTAGGTTAGTTATTTAATTTTGAAGAATTGTCTCCTTACTAAATGCAGCTGAAACAAATGAGGAGTGACAGTAGTTACCTGGGCACAGTGACCTGCAGCCTGGACTGGTCTGGCTCAAGAGGTATCTTCATATTACAAGTGCCCCAGAGCATGTCAGGCCATGTTAATCCAGTCTTTTCTTGCATTTTTATGTCACATACACTGTAATTATTGTGTACCACCAGACTTTGTGGCATTCCTGAGTTCAGAATATGGGAAAAAACACACAATGCAAATTGTGCTCAATATGCCTTGTCTATAGAATGAACTTGTAAGTCTTAACAGCGTATGCAGGACTGGGAGCTGGGCTTTCTTCTGACAGCTTTATGGAGAGCTGAAAAATCCACTCATGCCATGGTGGAGGCTACAGGTGACCCTGTCTCCCAGGTGACAAAGAAAGGTCGAGTAACGTGTTTCTTTAAAGAAATTATTTGAAATCTCAGAGGAGTTGGGAGCCTAGCATTTGAACCCTTCTATAATGTGCCATCACATCTTAAAGGAGGGGCAGGCCAAGCAATTATGCTGATCAATGAAGTCTCTGGGGTCATTCATCACTCTGTGACTTCTGAATGGGGCTGTGGGTACCTGCTGCCTGAACTCTCCTTTATTCCATCCCATCCATCCTGGAGAAGAAATGACAGCAGCCACCCAAGAGCCATTGCCCTCCAGCCTCAGGGACTGCTCAGGGCTTTCCATGCAGCATATACTCCACCTTCTAGAAAAATACTTCCAGTCAACGAAGTTGTACAGTGCACCTGTGGTTTCTACCTTTTTCTCTAGTTTTTCTTCTCTTAAAAGGCACTTAGCTTCTTTTAATAGTTTGTATAGTTCATTTGTTCATTGTATGTGTAATTACTCATTGTCTCTCTCTTCTCCAACACTGTCAGCTCAGCCGTAGGAGACTGGGGGCAAGGGTGGTTTAATTCATCAACATAATGCATTCCACACCTCTGGAATGTGCCGGGCGTGTAGAAGGTGCTTAATACAAATTTTAATGTATGAGTGAGTAATTGAGGAGAGCTCCAGCTGAAACATCACTATAGATTTCATAGATTTGAATAACTGAAAAAAAAATGTTCCATGACAGAGGCATGGCTCATTGCCCTGGCTGCCGAGACTGCTAACCCACTATTGACCTGTTAGCAATGCTGAAGCAACTACATGTTCTTTGAAGAGTCAAACCAGCAGGTCACAGTGGACAGAGAACACAAATTCCACAGTCTGCCTTCCCCATCCTTCTTCTGGTCTTTCACCCACGGGTATGCATACTTCAGGGATGACATGGTCCTTCCTACCACCAGTCCTCACTCAGATCCTGGATCTGATCCCAGTATCTAGACCCATGCTGGACCGATGAGTTCTGGAATGTTCTCTGTGACTAAGCTTTTGATCCTTCTCTCTCCAGCTGCCCTGTTTTCTGAAAGCCGTACCATGGACAGTGTGTGGGCCCCTCGATCCACCCTCCATTTGATGCTGCTCTTTATATTCCTCTCTGCCCTGTGATCCGAGTACATTCCTTTGACAACTCCAATGTCAAAAATTGCACTTTCAAATATCTACACCTTATAGTCTATGCTTCTTATGTATTTTTCTTTTTTCTAGATTTAAAACTGGCTGGTTTTCCTTCCCAGTTATTTCCAATTCACAGACATTCATCTGTTGGATTTCTTTCTCTTTTACAGAACACTTGCTTTTACTTTCCTTTTTGTGGATGCTATTCCTTACTTTGGAAGACTTTTTCAGAATTCTCCCTTATCTCTCTCCCATTTCTTGAATTTACTGATGACCTTTCAAGTGTAAGTTTCCCTCCAGTGCTTTGAAATCTTAGTGAGCTACTGGACTTGAGATGTTTTCCCCGATTCCAACACCTTCCCTGAGCCTACTAGTTCTAAGTTCTTCTGTTGTTAGCAATTTCTTCCAAACTAATACATTATCTCCTTGATTGAATGGCTGTAGCTTATAAGGCTGAAGGAGTAAATAAAACTTATGTCTCGAAAAGCTGAAGCTTACAAGATTCACAAGACTCTTGCCCAAAATTACACAAGCAGTAGCAACTTGGGAAAAAGAGACTCAGATTGGCTGATCTGACTACATGCTTCTTTGCAGCTCCAGGGATACAGATTTCCTGATTCCTTCACCCATGGTCAGGTGGGTATTTTGGTAATGCAGCTGCCATCGAGTCAAGCCATGCTCCTCTAAGTAATCCCTCAGCTGTGCTAAGTTCACCCAGCAAACTCATGTGTTCGCCAAGATTTACTTTGGTGGAATTGTTACTTTGGACTGTTCCTGGTGTTTGGGGTTTAGGATTGAGAGAAAGGGAGGTTCAAGGAAAAGGAAATGGGTTGAATCACCCTTCAGGCAGGAACTTTATTAATACTGCAGTCAGACGGGCAGCACGGTGTGGTGGGGGTCTGAAATAGCTTCATACCCATCTTGGGAAAGCAGAGCCTGTTCTTTTAAGGTCATCTGTGACAGGAGTAGGGAAGGATAGGGTGTGGTGTTGAGAGGAAATGGATCCAAGGTCAGCTGACATTACCCAACTAGACTAATCAAAGAATGACAAGTAAAAAAGTCTGTATATGTTCAATACGGATGCTTTTTTTTCCCAAATATTTTTGATTTATGATTAGTTGAATCCACAGCTGTTTTTTGTCCACTGATTTTTATATTGTGCAACCCCGCTGAACTCATTTCAAGCTGTGTGTGTGTGTTCCTCAAGGTTTCCACATATAAGATCCACTATCTTCCTTCTCTGTCTGTATGCCTTTCTCACTCTGCCCCAGATAGGACTTCCAGTGCACTGCTGAATAGACATGGTGAGTGGACAGCCCCGTCTTCTTCCTGACCTCAGAGAGGACACTTCCTTCTTTCACCATTAAGAATGAGGACCTGTATGTTCTAACAGAGCTCTTTTACCAGACTGAAGAAGTTTACTGCTATTCCACATTTTTGAGGAATTTCTTAAATAAGGTATAGACATTGGGTTCTGTGAATCTTTTTGAATTTTTGAAATAATCATATTGTTTGTTAGTACGCTTAATTATATGAATTGTTTAATGCTAATCAATCTTGCATTCCTGGAACAAACCCTATTTGATATATTATCCTTTTTATTTATTGCCATATTTAATTTGCTGAAATCTTATTTAAAATGGTTATGTCTATGATTATGAAGAATACTGGTCTTTTATTTCATTTTCTTATTGTGTGGTTTTTAGTAATGCTGACTTTGTAGATAAAGATAGGAAGAAGTCTCCTTTATTTTCAATTTTCTAGAAAATTCCAGAAATTTATTTTATTCCTTACCTGCTGTGCTTTATATTTAAATATAATGTTATAATTTCTTCTTTAATTATTTTATACAATTCACCAATGAAGTCGTGTATCTCTGGAATTCTCTTTGTGGGTCTTTTTAAATTAGAAACTCAATTTCTTTAATAGATATAAGCCTAAGGTTATTTATTTCTTGTTGGGTAAGTCTGATAATATGTGTTTTTAAGGAATATTTGAATATATCTACTTTATCTAACTTACTGAGTTTACCACATGAAGATTTTAAAATAGTTCCTTACTACCTAGTAGAATCTAAAATGATGTCACTTTCCTATTTCCCCCTTTTGACTTGGTTCAGGTGGCTAGAGATCTATCAATATGATAACTGATCTCAAAGGAACAGCTTATGGTTAAACTGATTTTGCTTCTATTTTTCTGCTTTGCTTTACTGACCTCTTCCCATACCCTATGCAATCCCATCACTCTTTTTAGTCTAGCTTCTTCAGATAAAACTGAGGCTGTCGACATGTTTG